CTAATGCTAGAATGATAATGTGCTAATGCTAGAATGATAATGTGCTAATGCTAGAAAACCAAAACCTTTGGACGAACTGTTTAAAAAGATTTTCCCAAATATGTACAAAACTTTAGAATGGATTTTGCTATTGAGCCAAAGCTGGTTTAATATTTAATAAAAGTACGTTTGTTTCTGCAGAAAACTGGAAAAAATGAAAATGCCATATAATGTTATCGATGGATTGGGCGCTGTTTCCTTCTGACTGCTTCTGTTACCTAATCAGCCTCGCGTCTTCTCCAACAGGCAGTAAGGCAGGAAACAGGAGGACAGCTAATATCAGAAGCATCGGTTACTCCGACCTGTTCTGTCTTTCCAAAGACGACCTGATGGAAGCCCTGACAGAATATCCTGATGCTAAAGCTCTGCTCGAGGAGAAAGGAAGGCAGATTCTAATGAAGGATGGGCTGCTGGACCTCGAGGTACAGTCACATTATCTCGTTTGGAAACATTAGCAAACATCTAGTCTACAGAAATAAAAACTTTATTAAAACTAACTCTGTCCTCCAGGTGGCAGCGCAGGGCCCAGACCCCAAAGAGATCGAGGAGAAGGTGGACCGGATGACGAGCACCCTGGACTCCCTGCAGACCCGTTACGCCCGGCTGCTGGCCGAGCACGAAGCCACTCACAGCAAGCTCAAACACAGAGTCACCCGGCTGGAGAAGAAGTTGGTGCCCCCACAAGCTGATCCGTCAGGTGAAGCTCCACCCCCAACACCTGAGACAGAGGCAACCAAATAAGAGGAGAAGTAAGGAGAAGACAACAAAGAAGAGGACTGGAGTGTTCGATTTTAGAGCTTGAGTCAGCTCGATGGGTGGAGATCAAGGTGTTTGAACCTCAGGTGGAAAGTTGGAGGAGTTTCTGTTAAAGTTTTGAAGACAAATTGGAAAAAAGAGGACAAAATCTGTTTCTTGCATTCAGATTTATGTAACATCACTTCACATGACATCTTCTAGAGATAAACTTCTCTTCGTAAAGTATCGACCACCTGCTGGATTTGTGATGTCAGCACTTACAACTGGAAGTGGAGCTGACTCCAGATTACACTCAGAGAGCACAAGAAGGACAACTAGGCCTCAAAAGAACCTAATGTGACACCATGTAGAACTGTTTCCATGTTTAAGTTGTAAAACATTGTAACTGTAATGTATATAAATAATGAGCAGTAACTTTTCTGGATGTTACAGAGGTTGTTCATAGTTCAAGCTTTTGCTTTGCAGCAGTGACTCCTAAAGTGCGACGCGGGGCCTCCCAGTGACCCTTGAAAGAACTGCAATGTTCAATTTTGTAATTACAAAAACATTTCTTAAGAGATGATTTAAAAACAGCCATGGGTTTTAAATTGCACCTAATATTTTGTCATTTACAGTTCAACTAAAGCAGTGGCTATCACATGGGAAAGGGATTTAAAGCTTTAAGGTGAATTTGGGGTGAGGTACAGATGACTTGAAGATCAGCCCAGTTTGTCCCAGGGAAAAACCCAACATTATTAAATGTGTACATACCAAAAATGGTCATACATATTGGTTTGTGAAGACTTTGCTGTTTTCTACCACAGCATACTATAATCCTTTCTGACTGTAATAAGTACTGCCATTTACTAAATAAATATTTTTTATTCATTAAGACTTCAAAGTATCAGCTCCCCCCATAAACACACTGGGAGCATGTTTACTCAGGTCAGAGTGGGAAGTAGGCGCCACACAATCAGAGTTGCCCCCTGCTGGCTATTAGAAAGAATGCAGGTTTATCACTTAAGCTTTGCATCATTTTTCATACTGGGCAGCTGCATCCATCTTTACATATACAGTCTGTGGTTAGCTGCTGCACACCTGAATAAACCCCAGATTCAAAGCATATAATGCTCTCTACATCCATCGCCTTTTTTATGCTGCGACTTGTGCTTTTTAAACTATGCAAAAAATATGAATGATAATTATGTTGAATCTGGAACAAAAAGCTGAAATAAAGATATTTTATAAGAAAATCAGAATGGCTTGTTTCATTTCCAGTGCATTCTCCTTATTATTATTATTATTGTTGATTAAAAGTACATAGAAATGTTGATGAGCTCAGATGGAAACTAATGTAGGTAAATGTGCTGTAGGAAATGTTAATACTACCGCGGAGCACGGGATCGATAAAGTTTTATTTGTTGATCACATTTTTGTATTATTGATCTAAGACCCTAGCCCTAAATGAGCTTTTTATATTGTTTACATGATCGAAATAAATTAACAACCAAAAAGCAAAAAGTAACTAAAGTTGAAGCTGTGCAGTGACACGTATGTGTGTGCGTTTGCGTACACGTGTGCGTGTGTGAGAGGTTGTGGGATATGTAGTTTTACTCCTGGATAAATCCCTAAACAGACGACGTTTGGTTGTGAGAACTACAAGAACCGGCATGCACCGCGTTGCACTACGCATGACAATCAGGCACCTGGCTCCACTGTGCTGAGTGTTGAGGTGTGTTTAGCTCATAACTGCTCATTAAATGAGGTTTTCTGATTGTCTTTGGAGTTAAATATTAACATTCCGGAAGCTTCTGTGGATAATTAGAGTTTGGTGAATGTTGTTTACCGGAAGTGACGCTTGTTTCCGCCTGGTTTTTCTTGGAGTTTGAATGGCAGTTGGGTTGCTGCAGCTAGCCGGCTAGCAGCACTTTTGAAGTGAATTTGGCCTTTAACGTGAGCGCGCGCGGTGTAAACGTGTTGCTGTGTACGTGCTCAGGTGCAGCGGTCAGGTACACGGGCGGAGAGAGACACAGTCCGGCTTCGTGTCGCTGTGACTCAGCGGGACAGCTGGGGTAGTCAGGTGACCGCTAAAGACCCAGCCAGGTATCAGGTAAAGGTGTCAGGCAGCTGTGAGCACCTGAGGAGGGCAAGCTGAGGCTGCGCAGAGCCTCCGGTGAGGCTGAGGCAGCTCTGAATCACGTATAAAACCCCTCTGCTGCGTGGAAACGTGCCCTAATGCGCAAACCAGGGTCCAGCCAAAAATCTGCTAATTCACCTCTGCAGCATTAAATCCACTAACAAAGGCACGCTGCTGCTGCAGAGACAGATAAACATGAATGAGTGGCAACATCTGCAGACGTCGGGCTCAAAGCTGAACACCTAAAGTTCCTGAGAGAGGTGATAACTGGTTAAATGCATGCAAGGCCAAAAGTACTGTAATAGTTTAAAATTGTACATATATCAATGCTCTCATTCTATGTCTACACCAGAGACCTCTCAGAACTTCTGTGTTTTTACTGCTGCAGTGTTTTCATTGGATTTTCTACTCGTTTTCTAAGCTTGTTGATGTATCCTTGATAAAATGCATTCACTTGGAGTATTGGTGTGTGTTTGATGGTACAGAGGAAACTCTTATGCTGCTGCATCCATACAAAGTCAGGCAGATCAGTGAAAAGTTCTCACCTGAGCCCCAGCTCATTGTTTGTGTCCAAAAAATAACTTTTGAGGATTTGATGAAGCCATCCAGTATTTGCACCCTCAGAGTAAATCCTGGTGGAGGCTGAGTTGTAGTACTGAGAAAATCTCAGGTGCATTGTGGGTAAACTGATAAACTGAATCCTTCTTTCAATCATTTCTCACATATGTTGCTCTCTGTAGAGGCAAGAGGCAGTTGCCATGGAGCCCGCCTGGCGACAGCAGGGCCGCGGGCGAGGCCGGAGTCAGGAGGCTCAGGTTGAAAGGTCACGACCCCTGCAGAAGGAGAGAGAGAGGCCAGGCACTGCTACGGGAAGAGGAGTCAGGACGAAGACGGGCTCTGCGCCTGAACCTCCGCATGGTGATGAAACGCTCCATGGACCAACTCCCCCTGTCGGCTGTGTGGCTGGTGTGAGTTTATTAATTCTTCCCTGTGGTCCTCAGGTTTGGCTGTCCAATCCAAGTTTGAGGAGATCAGGAAATCCAACCAGGCTGCTGCTCAGCGATTGGTCGAGAGCCACTTCAGCTCCTCCTCCTCCTCTGATGAAGACGACAACAGCATCGATGATGGAGATCACAAGGAAGGAAAGAGAGGGAAGATCCTGGCATCCGCCTTCACCACCTACACCGACCAGACAGGTGAGCAGCCAGGCATTGCCGTGGCAACACCACTGTGAAGATCAACTGGTTAAATAGATTTTTTTTACCAGTGTTTTTACCAGGTGTGCAGATGTTTGAAGACAGTAAGGTGAGCCTGATATGAAGCTGCGCAGATGTTGTGGTATTCCTGCTCACTCCCTGTGTGTGTGTGTGTGTGTGTGTGTGTGTGTAGGCGGGGATGCCACTGGCCTGCAGAGGACCGGTCAGTACGTCAGCGACCTGTTTCAGTCCGGAGCGCTCACCTGTCTGATCTGCATCGCCTCGGTGAAGAGGACACAGGCGGTGAGACACGCACACTTTGATCTCCTGCTCTGTGTTGATTCAGCTTCACTGATCTGACGTCACCTCTCTGGTTTCTGAAGAACATTTAACGACAGCTTGAGGCAGATTTTCTCCTTTTGTCACATTCATAGAAGCAGATCTCACAGAAAGTCAGAAGCATTGTAATCATGCAGTTCTCAGGTTTTTGTGCTTTTTAAAAAGAATTGTTCCATCTTGTCTTTTTCTCTTTAGTTTTTACTTCTTGATTGTATTTATGTAAAAGGTTTAAGTAAGTAGTTGGAAAAAGTAAATATCTTGGAGAGGTGTCTGGGGTCATTTTGGTCACTTCAAGATGTTTCTTTGATAATTTCTCAGACATCCTCTGTGTAAAAGTTAGTGAACTATTTTTGACCCTGGAGACTCTTTGCTTTCATCACTTATTTCCTTCTCCTCTAGTCAACCACTACTAGTAGATAATACTACATTACCCATGAGTCTCAGCTGTAGTGACTTTTTCCAGTATTTCTACAAACCTGTGAAGTTGTGTGATTGGCTGGTTGTAATGTGATGTGCTCTTTACACAGTTTGTTTTAAAGTCTTATAAATATTAAAAGGCCCAGAGAGGGAGACCACTTTAGACTGAACTCTGATATCTGGTGTGTGCGTCCAGGTGTGGAGCTGCTCCAGCTGTTTCTCCCTCTTCCACCTGCCCTGTATCCAGAAGTGGGCCAAAGACTCGGTCTTCCTCGTCTCCTCAGTCACTGATGAAGACTTTGGTCAGAAGCAGCATCCGTGGCCCTGGTGAGGAACAAAAGCCCTTCCACTACCACTATAGCCCAACGTGATAAATCCATAAACATGGGCGAGGGTTAAATAATATTTGGCATGAGGGTGAATCTTCAGTACAATTACATCATTTTAAATGGAACTAATTACTGATAAGCTGATAAAATCACACTGATAAAGCTGTCTAACCAGAGAAAAGTCCTGTGTTACATTTGTGTTTAAAATTGATTGTTGGAAATAGTTGGGGTTTTCCTCTTTGTGGTTTCTGTTTACTAGCTAAACTTGTCTGTTTAATGAAGTCGTGTTTTCTAATGTTTCATTTGTTAATTAATAAAAAAATCTCACTTTGAGCTTGGGCGGTTGTAAGGAAATAATCATCAGTTAATGTGTCTGATTGTCTCCCCTCAGTCCAAAGTGCCGTGCAGAGTATCCACCCAGTGCCACCCCCAACAGGTACGTTTGATTTCTTTATCCTGTGTGCCCAGTTTTATCGACCCGCCCTTTAGAGTTGCCACAGGCCACGCTCAGTGCTAAATCCACTCTGCAAATCTACATCTGCATTATCATCAAATTCACTTTAACAGTAACATAATCAAGTAGCATTAAAAACAAACATTAAGCGATAATGTGGTCAGATAATTGCATTAAAACAGCACAAACACAGTGCAAAGGTTCAAATCATGGACTCCAATTACTTAACAGCTATAGCTGCCTGTGTCATTAAAAGAAGGCACACCAATAATAATGCAAACTTTAAGCCTTAATACAATTTAAAGAGGTGAGTTTTTTAAAAAGTAGAGGACCAATAATAGAGCCCTGTGGAACTCCACAAACACTGTGAAGCTTCTGCAGGTTGTTTCCCCTGTACAGCTGTTATACACCTGTTATAAAGAGGGTATGAACAGCTTTCCTGGCTGTGAAGTGTGATATTGTAACATGTGAGCCTGTGGAGAGTGAGTGCTTGAGTTCATGTTTCATCCCCACAGGCTGAAGCAAATGTGGCTAAAGTACAGATATTTGATATTTTGACTCAAATGTGTTAAATATAAATGTGAAATGTTGTTTTATTGAAAGTATTAGTGAGAGCTTGCCCCACCGACTCCTAACAGGCTCCAAGAATATGAACACAGACTTAAACTATATTAAGGCTGGAAGTTGTTATTGTTGGGGGCGTGGCCTCTTTGACTGACAGGTGGCTGCTGTTGTTCGTGCTGTTGGTGCCTTTTGGAGCTTTTTGTAATGTGTTGTTAAGTATAACAACGGGCCATCTAGGAGTCTGAGCTCCAGTTGTGGAAGGTTATTTGGACGTGAGCTCTGACGAGTGAAGTGTCTGTAACTTGCCACCTGCTGCAGTGTTTATCGCCCCATAGGTTGGAGAGAAAGAGCAAATGTGCATCACTTTGTTGTATCTCATGTGAACGCTGACCAGCTTCACACAATGCGGCTGTGCTGCTGCTGCTCTCCAGCAGG